TAATATGATCTTTTTTCTCATCAATTGTCATGTAGCTCAGTAACACAAATAATAAATTTAAAAAGAGCATTCCATCCATCCATTATCTATACCGCCTATTCGTGAATAGGATGGAGCCTTTAACAGCTGACATTGGGCGAGAGGCAGCATACACGCTGGACAGGTTGTCAGTATATCACAAAGCTGACATAAAAAGAGCATTCTTGTGGGAAAATATTAGTTGTCCTCTTTAAAGCCTGAATAATTCAGGTTGATCTATAATTAATACACCCACGCTTAAAATCAAAACAAAGAATCCTCTCCATACATCACACCAATGCCGTTCACCTGTGAATCTGTGGAACCCGCACACTATGGCACTGCATTATCAAATCTTATCCAATATACCTTTTGTCTTGTTTTTTTCCCCCCTTTTTGCATATTAGCTTTTGACCAGAGGCTGGCTTTTGTTTGTGGCAATCTTAGTTCAATTCATGGATCATGTCATCGCTTCAGGAATCAGGATGAGATGGGACAGACAAAGAGCAGTAAGGAGTGGCTTACATTTACAGGTATGTATGGGCTTGTTTTGAGTCTCAGTACACTCTAGTGTCTGAAAAGAAATTTGGTAGAGTAGCTTTAGGCCCTTTTATGGCTAAATTAAAAGAATACTTTATCATACAGACTGGATGCTGCATCTTTTAGAGACAAAAGATGGACGACGCAACAGTGAAGTTAAGTTACTCAACACATAGCATAGACAACTATTCTTGGACGCATACTTGAAAATTAAATATAGTCACATTATCTCAGAGGACGCGCTTTTGGTTTCTCTCACCAACATTCCTGGTGCAACAGCTCATTTTACATGCCGTCCTCCACTGTAAAATACACTAATATTCCAGTTTCACCCTGTCCAAATGTGTTATGGTAATTTATCATAATTCATTAAAATCTTTGAATTCTGTTAAAACCCTCTCTGTTTCTCTATTTGACATTTTGCCCTTTTACACAAAATAACAGAGAGCCTGAAAATGTCTCTCATAAAGGCTCAAATTATTATATATGCATCTCCAGCAATTAGCTCTCATTCTATAATGAAGCCTCCATATTTTAAATTGACTGGAACTGTGGAAATGCAAAGTAGGCAGTTGTATGAGGATCTCAATAAACTATTAAATTTTGCTCCACCTAAATCATGCTTCTGATGCATCTAATAAGGTCCCAGAAAAGTCAGCTCATTTATGAAGCAGTTAATGTGTTCAGCAGAACTCCAGTTGTAGGCATGTGTTTATGGCCATTACGCTATCCAAGACAATGTTTCTCATTTGTCAATATGCTACAGGGAAAATCCTCTTTACTGCATTTAGCTGGAGTCTGCAGACTAAAGTGGAGCTCTGAGAACATCTCAACACGGGTTGGGTAAAAATATTGGCAGCAATGATTTATTTGGAGGATAAGGCATTAAACACATTTGCATAATCTGAGCAGTGCTGCAGCTGGCCCGCAACAACATTTACTCATACAACCTTAATTTCACTCTCATCATTTCTCTGCTAAGAGAGGAGCAGTAAAAGCTAACTATTCATCTCTTTCATGTTTATTAGCATGACTGCATCCTCTGAGTCTCTCAGCTGCTACTGTTCAGAGAGTGTGTGTTCTGGGAGAGCTATCATATGTTGTTTTACAAGAGTGTTAGGAAGAAATGGCATTGAAGCATCACAGACATACTGTACTGTAGAAGCTACCGTTTAGATAAGGTGAGGCAAGGCCCTCAGGGGTGCTGGTGCTTTCGCAGGGTTGTTCTAATGTCATAAAAGACATAAAGCAACATCCTCTAGAGCCACATTAACACAAGGTGTACATGGACTAAAAGAACGTGATTTTGGTCACCAGTGGACAGCATATAAATACATTTGGCAGTAGGTTCTTTATTTTCAAGAGAGGAGCAGGTGTGTACTGTATATTTTGTTCATTCATATCATTCACAGGTCTTTGGAACTGGAAATAGATTAAATGAATAAGGAGGCAATATGTTCACAAAGAAAAAATATCAATCACAACAAAAAATGTATGGCCATGCGATGACAGGAAGACAAACCAAACTCAGGAATACAGCCTGAAGATACATTTGGCTTACTAACTGCATATAAAGCCAATATGGGTGTTGTGCAACCAGAAAACTCAGGACATTGAGGCTAAAAGAGGGTAATACAGCTAACAGCTACCATATATGGAATTGCAGTTACATCACATTGTCATTCATGTTCATCAGTACTAGCCCTTTATCAAATATATTTATTTAAAAGCTGTAGTGTCACAAGCCTGAGACATTTTGAAAGGATGTTTTATTCTCAGGAACTCAAAATATCCATAGCTCGGGTACTCTACCAAAGGCCTAGGAGCTTGAGGGTCCTGCGCAGTATCTTAGCTGTTCCTAGCACTGCACTCTTCTGGACAGAGATCTCAGATGTTGCTCCTGGGATCTGTTGGAGTCATTCTCCCAGTTTGGGGGTCACAGCCCCCAATGTTCCTATTACCATGGGGACCACTTGTACCTTCACCTTCCACATTTTTTCTAGCTCTTCTTTCAGCCCTTGGTATTTCTCAAGCTTCTCGTGTTCCTTCTTCCTGATGTTGCTATCACTTGGGATTGCTACATCTATCACTACGGCCTTCTTCTTCAGTTTGTCCACCGCTACTATGTCCAGTTGGTTGGCCATTACCAGTTTGTCAGTTTGTATCTTGAAGTCCCACAGGATCTTAGCTTGGTCATTCTCAACCACCTTTGGGGGTGTATCCCATTTTGACTTTGGGACTTCCAGCCTGTACTTGGCACAGATGTTTCTGTACACTATGCCAGCCACTTGGTTATGGTGTTCCATGTATGCCCTGCCTGCTAGCATCTTGCACCCCACTGTTATGTGCTGGATTGTCTCAGGGTCATCTTTGCACAGCCTGCACCTGGGGTCCTGCCTGGTATGGTAGACCCCGGCCTCTATTGATCTTGAACTTAGAGTCCATTCTTGTGCTGCCAGGATTAGTGCCTCTGTGCTCTCTTTCAGTCCAGCTTTGTCCAGCCACTGGTAGGATTTTTTGATATCAGCCACTTCTTCTATTTGACGGTGGTACATGCCATGCAGGGGTTTGCAACATAGCAGACGCTGAGGACAGCTGCAAGTACCTTGGGATCCTGCAGTCAAATGGGAACCGTGAAGAGGCCACAAGGAAAGCAGCAACTACCAAGTACGTGCAGAGAGTAAGGCAAGTCCTGAGAAGTCAGCTGAATGGAAAGAACAAAGTCTGGGCAATTAACACCTACGCCCTGCCAGTCATCAGGTACCCCACTGGCATAATAAGCTGGCCAAAGGAGGAGATAGAGACCACTGACATCAAGACAAGGAAGCCCCTTACAATGCACGACGGGTTTCACCCCAAGTCCAGCATCCTCAGACTGTACACTAAGCGGAAGGAAAGAGGCCAAGGATTAGTGAGCATCAGATCCACTATCCAGGATGAAACAACAAAGATCCAGGAATACACCAGGAAGATGGCCCCGAGTGATGACGTGCTTAGTGAATACCTCAGGCAGCAGAAACCAGAGGAACAAGGGAAGGAAGAGCAGGAGCCGTCATGGAAGGACAAACCCCTGTGTGGCATGTACCACTGTCAGATAGAAGAAGTGGCTGATATCGAAAAATCCTACCAGTGGCTGGACAAAGCTGGACTGAAAGACAGCACAGAGGCACTAATCCTGGCAGCTCTACCTCTGATAGAGGACCCTAGCTTGAAGGAAAGAATACAAGACCGCCACAAAGTGGGGGGTGAGTGGGGAATTTTTTATATACATACACACACACCCGGTATATATAATTAAATATATTTTTAGTGTAGGTAGATCATTTTGACTTGGTTATTTGAAAAGTAGCTTGTGAGGTGAAAAAGTATCGGCACCCCTGATCTAGCCTATCCACTGATTCCCTCTGTGTTACTGTACCTTTTTACATATTGTAAATAAATTTATTTAGCTTAAAGCTGGCATTATTATGTCATCTTTGGTCTTATTTCCAGTGATTAGGTAATGAACTGTAGAATTCAATGCATTCAGATTGAGACTGAATTAATAATTTAGATCAATAAAGCCATCACTCGCTTGGCTAGCATAATTAAGCCTGGTGCTCTATACTCTAACAAGGTATTAAAATATTAGTAATATAACATTTTAAGTTAATATTCTTTAAGTGTAGTTATTTCTGCTACAAACCTATACATTGATTAATTGTTCTTTTAGTTGGTTCCCACGGCACTCTCACCAAATGTTTTGTAGTGTTTTCCATCTTGGCTTAAAACTAAACTGGAATCTTTGGATAAGTGTCAAAATGTGTGACTGGCGACAAAAAATTTTTCCTGTTATATAATTAAATAAAAAAGAAGGTGCCTTCCAGCAACTGAAAAGCCTGTTAACTCATAGGAGTCACTGGGTCCATCAGCCAACATGATGGCCTGTCATAGTGCCCTTCAATAAGCCACTGAAACCTCCCTGCTCGATAGAAGTCTCTAGACATTTATGTACTTCACAGTTATACTGCACATGAGCCTGAGTTATAGTATTCAAACATAAAACTATATTTTAAATTGGTGGTGGTTCATGCTTACAGTATATGGTGACCTGGGTGAATATTTTATTATACAAAAAAATGACACAGTATTAAAGAAGAGAACCTGATTATTGCACTTCAAACAAGAAACACAGAAATGAAATTGCACAACTGTCATCTACAGCAGTGTTATTCATTGTGTGGTTCGCAAGTCTGAGGCAGCTCACCAAGTGTTAATTTGCGGCTTGCATGGCAGCTAATATTATATGATAATGCACCAGCACACATAATTCTGAAAGTACTCAAAACAGCTATGCTATTCATACACAAGATGACAATACAGGCTAACATGGAGCTGTCAATACCTGCTCAGACAAACACTGCAGTGTTGCCAGTTTGGCATCTCTCTGGAGAACAACAATGGCAGAGTGGCAATCACCCATTATATTCAGAGCTGTTCCTAATACTCTGTCCCTCTCATGTATGTAGCTGGGAAATATATAAACACCTTTGAATTTAATGTAGTCCAGTACAACACTACCTTTAACTATGACCTCAATAATAAACATGTAGTTGTTTTTATACATTTGATAGTTTTCACCAACAACATTTTGAGCTGCATAAACACAGATTTTATGGTGGAAGTGTTGCATTGAAGTACATATGATCATATAGGTGTACCTAATAAAGTGGTCAGTGAGTGTAATGTTTAGGCAGCACATTATAGTGTCCAGCAATATCACCACTGGGTTGGAGATCAAACAGCTGACACATTCTCCAAGACACATTTCATCTGACACGTTACATTTGAGACACCTTTGTCCTTTCTCACTCCTCCTCTCATCATGATGAGGAAAAATGTTCAGCTGCATTGTCTCTTCTCATTTGATTTTTACTCAGAAAAGTGAAATAAACCTTCATGAAATGTGATGACTTTTTCTCCCCCAGCTCAGCTGCTAATATCAAGAAAGTTGGAGTCAACTGACAATTGTGTGAGATTTCTGTGTCACTCGATTATCAGAACGGGTTTGTGTGCCCTGTGGAATCATCACAATCTCAGTCTTGACATTTTTCCTACATTTTGAGGAAAATATGATTTTCAAGACTACAATAAGTTTCCATTTGTAGTGATGGAGCAACCACCCCACCCACATTGTCTCCATGTAGCTTCACACTCCATAGAGTCCCCGTGCTTATGGCCCAGTGCTCCAGCCCCATCCGTCATCCTGAAAGGGGGAAAGGGGATATTCACATTTCCTAAGGGCAGGAGCCATGACTGCAGCTGTCAGCCTGTGGTGATTGAGAAGCAGGGTGTGACAGGGCATGTGGGCCAATGCACACAGCTCGTTCAGAGAGTATGTCGGTTCCTCAAGACCACCTGGGCACTGCTATTCCCTCTGCAGTACCGACAGCCTGGAGCTGAATATGGAGTAGTCACCTATAGAAAATGCTTGGGTAAAAGATCTTGTTAACTTGTTCATTCTTGTTAACAGCAATATAGTTTCAAGGCAGCAGGGGAGTCATGCAGACACCCACCACTGTGAGGATGACACATTAAAACACAGACACTGACGCTGCTGTTGCAATACAGTAACTAAGCAACAGGAAACCTCACACACTGACCACTGACACATAGTAATAGATATATGGGTTAGCATCTCTCTGTCTCTCCCGCTTCCTATTTTTCTATCAGACCTGCAGATGTGACTCTATTCCAGACTCAAAACAGCTCAACACAACCTCTGCAGCTTCCTAATCCTTCACCTACTCCTCTGTATTATACACCTCCTCTTTCGTTTGTATTCGGTACCTCCCTCTCCTCTTGTTATACACTCCATCTACCTTCTCTACAAAGATTTACACCACCAACTGTACTGATTTTCTCCCTCCAGCTCTGGAAATCTTCTGTTTCTACAGCGTTCTACACTTCCTCTTTTGTTTTGAACCTCCTTCTTTAATGCTACACCATCCACTACTTACTCGTTGTCCTCCTCCTTTGACCTCTACAGCACTGTTTTCATTCTGTGCACCACCACCTTGTCCTTTTTCTCTACAGGGCCCCTCACCTCCTCATCCATCTTCATAGTATTCACCTTCTCCTACACGATTGTGAGACTCATGCCACTGCAGCAAACAGGTGCACATTTCACACGCTATTTGTTTCCCTGTTTTGTCATTCCACCAAGGTCCAGTGGTCATCATTAATAACCCCAGGCCCTCTCACTACACGTCTCTATGTCTCCAGGCTGATGTTTCCTCCAGTCCGCTGGCAGCACTTCCATGCTCAGAGCCTCTGGTGCACAGAGAAATGAAGGAGTTAGATCAGTCCAAAAAATACAGGGATCTAAATCCAGACAGCAAGCTGTGTGAGCCTTCAGAATACTAAACAACATTATGGTGATTCTGTGCACAACAAACTAGAAAATACTGTATGTGTCACATAGGGGTCTAACAATCAATTCTATTGGTGTTTCAGATTGTTCTACAAATGGCAGGAGACTACATGATGTGAACTGATATAGAAAGATACACTTTCTTGAGTTTTTCTGTAGTGGATGGTTGTTGCTTTTAACATTGATTTTGTTGCGAGTTCTAATATTCTGCTACTGATAAACCAGACTAAATGGGTCAGTCAAAACTACACTGAAGTTACATTGCATTTAAATGAAGATGGAAGTTATAAAATAAATAAATTGTGTGTCTGCTTTGCATATTTATCCCATGTCCATATTCCCATGGATTGGAAGGTGGAGGGTTTGGGACTGGGTTCCAGTAGCCAGTTTCATTTTGGATTTGTTTCCCTGTTAGCCAAAGTCCCAGATTCGTTAAAGCCCTCTCCAATCAAAAATGTGTTTTGCTCACTGTTACTTCACTTGAATGTTTATGGACCACGGTATAAAATTATGCATGTGCACAGTGTAACACTAGAGGGCTGTTCTTCTGTGCTTATATCAAATCTCAATTTAATATCTGCATATATGAGCAGGGTTTTGTGACACCAATTTTAGACAATCATGATCCAATATGCAACTTATGCAAGTGGGATGTGATCATTTCATAACGTCTTTCAAGTAAAATGACCAAAAATGGGGGTTTGGAGCCAATCCGTTGCAGGTACCTGGAGCAAACTTTCATCAACATGGTTACAATACAATAATAAACAAAAGTTATGAAACATGGCTTGATTGTATTTAGGCACAAAAATAATGATATTACAGTAGATTTTGGAAGGAACATGGTTTGGGTTGCATAACAATAAAAAATAACTCTGGGTTATAATAAAAAAGGTTCTCTGTGCAGCTTAAGGGGGAAGATTTGAACCCTTCAGAGCACATACTCTATACTGAGAATGGCACTTTTGGCAGAGTAGGAGACATCATGAGTTCAGTACTTAAATATATGAAATAAATATTATTTTCAAAGGGTAAACACAATAACCAGGAGCAGACTGTAGCATTACCTACTGATGTGGCCCAAATTCAATTTTTGTCCCTCCAAGTGATTCAGATCTTATCTTTTTACAGATTTGTTAACAAACCAAATCAGATTTTTAAAAATCTGATCTAGGTCTAAAATCTGATTCCTATCTAGTCTTTGACCATGTGACTGCTGTCAGAGCAGTCAGATTGAATATGGTTTCTTGAATGTCTCATTACACTATACAATTCGTGGAACTTCCTGTCTCAAGCTTTTATTTTCATACACTTGCTATCTGTCTCTTTTATGTCATCCAGACACAGGTGTGTGTACCACCATAATTATACTCACCTGCTTTCCATCTGCTAAAGTGCAAATCAAGCCCCACCTCTAAAGTGGCGCTGTATTTAAGCAAGCAGCTCACATCCATTAGCTGCTAGATTGCTGTCTTTGAAGAAGCTACCCTCCTGCACTGTTGCCCAGCATTCATGCTCCATTTTTGTGTTTCTATATTTGTTCTTCATGTTATTTGTCTGACATCTTCACATTATGGACTCTCCTCTGTGATCATTTCTGGTCAGTGTTCTGTTACCATGTCTAGTTTCTCTTGTTCATACACACAGACTCAAGTTCTGGCCAGTAGCTCTGACCTTTATTTAATGCCTGTTCTTGTTTAACAGACTCAAGTAGATTTCTTCTTGTTACTTTGTCTGCTCTTTATTTGTTCTGTCTCTAGCTTGTTAAGATTTTGCCATGTGTTTATGTATTTACTGTAGCTCTCCTGTTTTCTGTCCTTGTTGTTAGCAGAGCCTTGTTTAGTTTTCAACATTTTTGCCTTGGCCTTTGTTCTCTCCTTCATATCATGTTATAGTCTGAAGTGCTCTTGTCTATGCTCTCAATACATTGTTTCATTACATTCTGGTTTATGTTGTATTAGTGCTGGTTTAAAACAACATTTTCTTTATTTATTCAAACACTTGAGTCACTAATAAAGCCCTGTAAATTCTCATTACACCTCTCTTTCTTGCTTTTTGCACTTGGGTCCAAGGTGATTACACAAACCTTGACAATGTGCATTACCTTTTGTTGTTGTCATCATCAATCAGTGTCAGCCCCTTACAGATCAGTAAAAATAAAGATGGAGGACAACGATAACAGTGTTGGGGTCAGAGGAAATATGAAAGCTTCACATTTGTTAGATATATTTGGAGAAGCCAAGTTGGAAGGGACATACTGTAATTGAGCCATTTTTGAGAAATTTGTATGATTTGGCCATTGCACAAACAATGTAGTTATTCTTCTAAGCATAAGGATAACATTACATCTGTGTATATGTGGCAGTTTAGGATGTCAACAGTGTTCACACACAGTTGGATACATGTCACATACAAATATGAACATGAGCGATCAACATAAAAAGATCTGATCTGACATAAAGATCACAATAGAACATTAATGCCTGTAATGTGAACATAGTCTATATCAACTGTTGACAAATCTTAGCAAATTAACATTCTGTAATGACAACAGTAAAACATGTGACTTATCTGGTAAATGAGATCTCTGCAAACTAACATGTGTTTTCTCAGTGAGAACACTCTACAACACATCTTGATGACCAGTGGTGACTTTTTTTGAGAAACAAAGATGATCATGCCATTATACTTCTCATATCACTGTTTTATGCTGGACAATTTCATAGCTCTGAATCAAGAAAAGGTATTTTAAAATATGCTGTAAATGTGAATAAACTTCACCTGTTATTTCTGTGTTTCACGTGCATAATAAATCATTTTGCTATTTGTCTCATTTTCAAGCTAATTAAACAACAATGAGTTTTAGCTGGGTGGCATGGTAGACCAGTGATTAGCGCTGTTCCCTCACAGCAAGAAGGACCTGGTACCTTTCTGTGCGGTGTTTGCATGTTCTTTTTGTGTCTGCATGGGTTTTCCCCAGGTACTCCAGCTTCCTTCCACAGTCTAAAGACATGCAGCTTAGGTTGACTGGCGACTCGAAACTGTTCCTAGGAGTGAGTGTGTGTGGTTGTTTGTCTACATACAGTATCAGCCCTGTGATAGACTGGCAACCTGTCCAGGGTGTACCCTGCCTCTCACTCAATGTCAGCGGTATAGATAATGGATGGATGGATGGAAAGAATCTTTGATTACTTACAATTGTTGAATTAGTGGTTTCAATAAGAGAGATATTGGACTCAGATTCAATAAAATCAAGCCCCACCTCTAGAAAGGACACAAATTTTCCCCTGGATTTGAATATGTATGTGCATTAGCCTCATAATGAACTGACAGGCCATTGAGCTTGTTTTTATTTTCTCCAAACAGTGTACACTGGGACAGTCTCTAGTCAATAGTGTGGGCTAACACTGTGATTTGCAGCCAAGCTTTGATTGTCTCCTCTCCTAATATTATTTCCTGTGCTGGGCGAAGGGTCCCCCACGGCCACAGCAACAAATACAATCAACAGCCTTAAGTAGTTTATTTAAGGTACCATATATTCACTTGTGGCAGTTCTGCACCTCCCACACAAGGATATTAGTTTCCTTTCAAGAGAGGCTTTTGTGATGCTCTGGGCTGTTACATTATAACATTTTCAAAGTTTAAAAGGAAGGAAAAGTGCTCACCTGATTGGTCCTGACTGAATCCAGACACACAGCTAATGTATTTCTCTAAATCCAACATCATTATCAGCTGTGCTATTTTACTTCTTGCCTTAAAGTTACCAAAAGTTAATTATAACACCCTGTACCACAAAAACAGAGGCCACTGGCAGATATATGATAGAACATATGATAGATACAGTATGTGATAGGGACTTATGATATATGTTACTTTCTTTAATCATCTGTTTTACATCAGCAGCCTTTCTTCATAATTAAACTGCACTCAAAAAACATCATATGTTCTTTGTTTCCTTTGTTCTCTCTTTTTTTACTTTTATCACTCTGTGAAGCCTTGCTCCTGCTCTCCAATTGCTTCTTTCATTTCCTAGTAATACTGTACCTCACCCAAAGTCTGTTTTCATCTTCTACTTCATCTTTTTGCACTTTTCATTCCCCACACTTTCTCGCTTTTTTATCCATCCTTTCCTTCCCTTCATCTCTGCTCACAGTCTGGTTCAGTGAGGTCAGGGAAGGATCTGTGTCCCTTGGCCTCTGCGAGGCAGTGTCCAGTTGGTGTAATTATGATGGATGGAGTAATTTCCAAGGCGCCTTTCACCATGAGGGTTGAGCACGCCATCTTTTCTCTTGGCTTTAATGACTTTTTAATAGAGCTCACTCCCAGACCTACATCACAGAGTGCTAGTGAGAGCACCGACAAATCACTGCTGTTAAAGCAGGTAATGGCACAGCAGGACATGGGTGGTCTGGGCTCTTTAAAAGCAACTGCCCCCTTAGGTAACCGCAGCTCTCTGTAGATGTGTGTTTGGATCTCTGTTACTTAGGCCACACTAAGGCGGACTCTTCGACTCAAGAATGGCTTGCCTGAGGACTTTTTAAAAATAAAAATTAAAACCAGGGACAAAAAGGAAATTAACTGTTCCCTACTTATACTTAAGTTAGCTTCTGGAACTTAGAGCCATTAATAAGTATTATTAAACCTTATCATTTTCATACCCTGTACTGATAATATGTAAATCGATAAAGGTTTATAAAGAAGAATTTTATAAAAACACATTGTGGCATTGTTGATAAACTCTTCTTAGAAAGCCAGAAAGCAATGTTTATTTTCTATAGAAGGCATAGAACTAGATGGGATATTAGGAGTTTATGAGTGGAGACACCTGCCTGTTTATACTGCGTGTAACATTCCCTGGGAGACGGATATGCAAATTTAGTGTCTGTAAATTATTATATTTACAAATCTAGTTATTAATATAATCAAGGTTTGTGGTGCTGCAAATAAACCTAAATTATGTTTTTTGAATCGCCATTCATAAAAGTGTCATTTGTGTAAAAATGGCTTTGTTGAAAAGACAACCACTAATACGTACAGTGCACACATGTACGTAAGTAGTCAAAAGGATTGGGCTCAGTATTGATTCACTTCAGTTATCTTTAAAAACACTGACTGTACAACCTGCTCACACCATAACTTACATGATTTTCAGACCATTTACTGATCAGAACTAACATGTGAGCAACACACATGCAACTGAACTAGAACAGAACCACACCAGCTCATACACCTTTGATAGTACAGAAAGTACAGATAGTTCTTTCATATTCGTATTGCTGCTGAATACATCACAACATACAGTCATATTGAGATAATATTAAAACTTGTCACTAACATTGTCTCTTTGTATGAGACAGGTCTAGTAATTAGACATGCTGTAGCTATTGACACATTCTGACCTTCAGTATAAATGTATGAGTGCTCTGCAGAGCTGACTAACATAATTATTAGCTGCAATATAACTATGTAACTTTACAGTACCTGGAACAGTAAATTTTCAAATAAAAACTTGTAGTCAACTAAAGGCCCAGTTTTGTCATATAGCCTTGGTTGATGTCCTTCCGAACAAATATTCTGGGGGCCTGCATTTTTATGAACATGTGAAAGAGGTATTTTCAGGCTAAAGTGTGGTGTGTAGTTATTCTTTTAGAAATACGGAGCTGGTGTATCAAGTTTGCATTACTAACAAACAGCAGTAACAGTAACACCAGAAATGCACTGTATGAGCAGGTCAGTAAGCAGAGAGTCATTTACTAATGTATGACAAAAAAGTATTTGATGAAAAAAAACGGGGGTAAGAAAGAAAAACTGACTGCACTTAAATGTAAAAGTGTTGGATGTATTATCTATGTATGATATTTTGAGCTAAAAAAAAGGCACAGTGTCTGATGTGTCATTCACATGATGTTCATAGCATACTTTTTAGAGCACTTACCTTTAAAGGTGAGCCACTCATTGAAGTGGTTGTCACTGCTTTCAAACTGTGCAAACAGTATATTTAA